TGCAAGGAAAGTTGTTAGCTTATCCACTTGACGACAACTAAGAATGAGTTGTAACCAACTAAGCACGAGTTGTGACCAACCAAGTATGGGTTGTAAAGTAAATGCAACTTGATCTTAAGGAGGTTTAAATTTTGCCTATAAATAGAGATGAAAGTCTCATTTGTAAATTATGTAGAGTAAAGTGAGTTTATTCATTAGAGAGAGTGTAAAGTTTTCCCTTTCATTTATACAAAGAAAATTTCCCAACCTTACTTGTTTTCCATATATCCCTTACTTCAAAATTCATTTCTCAAGTGGGTATAATTTAGCCTCATTGGTTAAATTATTTGTGAGCGTGAAAAGGCTGACTTAACATTTTCTCGTGAGGTGTGGAAATTGTCAAGCCTTAAGGCCGCACGGTTCTAGTTGTTCGGGTGTAACGAAACTAGGTCCGTGACAGCGCGCTAAAGAGCAAAAACAAGACACTAATGTTATATAAATATAGTTAATTTGCACTGCCTAATAAATATATTATTATAAAAGGATATTGGTAGCGCATAATATATACCAAAGTTGCTGCAATCTACCTTTATTTGAAAGGAAAATGATACTTGTACATTCCAAGGTATACATTCGGGTGCACATCCTATCACATATAGAATCATCCTATTTGAAAAGATTATTTCGATTGTACTGCTTCTTAATTTCTTTCAAATATATCTTTTTATGGTCAATGCCATACAACTACATTGTCATGCTAGTACAATGTACTTTTCATGTTCTCATAGCACATACTAAGTGGAATTTATGGCCCAAAAAAAAAAAAAAAATGCACACTAATGTTATATGAATACAGTTAGCCCCCCCCCCCCTCCTTTTTGGAAATGAAAATGGGTGGAATGGTATTTTTTTTGAAAAATGAGTGGTTGAAAAAGAAGAATTTTTTTCGATTTATGCGTAATATTATTTTATGAAAGAATGTGGTTGAAAATAAGAGAGAGAAAAATGAAATGTAATAAAATGAAAATTAATGACATTCAAACAAGGGCTTAATTGGCACTACAAAATATATTATTATAGAGCCTTTGCGAAATAGTTCATATTATTTGTTGAAGAAATTGCATCCAAAGGTAAATATAATATTCTTACATGTTAACTCGATGTATGCACAACTGTTAAACATCTTTTCTTTTTGGATTTCGTCGGATATGATAAATAAAAGAGGAAACTTCACAAAATGTCCATTTTTATCTAGTCATTTGCAAAAATGTACTATTGCAAAAATGTCTAATTTGGAAGAATTTAGACCAAAATACCCTTATTAAAAATTTATAATTTCACATAGAAAAAAAAAGACATTTTTGCAATATTGTTATTGACCAATAAAATTTTGACACATAACCTACCATATTTATTTCAAAAAGTATACATGTCAAATCAGAATAAATACTATATTTTTTATTGATTCAGAAATGTTGATAACGACATTTTTAAATGTAGAGAAATGTCATTCTAGACAAATAAAACGATGTTCAAATATCGAGAATAACATATGAAATGTCGAGAAACATTATTTTAATATAACTTTTCATGGAAGCCACTTCTCAAAATTCGTGACAAATTAATAAAAAAATCAAATGTCGAGAACGACATTTAAAATGTCGAGAATATCATTTCAAAATGTAGTTTTTCATTAAGGGCATAATAGACAAGTTGACACTAAATTCAAATGAGTGGACAATTTTCAACTCATACCCTTAAAATTGAACATTTTTAAAAATGCCCCTAAATAAAATTCATAAGAGTATTTTTTTTTTTTTTCCTAAGATTCAATGTGTCTGAAATTGATGCATGATCTATAGTATTCACTTAATTGGTTTATATATGAAAAGGTGCTATTATTCGTACTCTAATTGGAAAAAATTATTTGACAGGTAAGAATTAATTTTAATATATTTTTAATTAATATAGAGTACAAAATTGAAGTTTTTGCATCTAATACATGTTTGATTTGATCGACATTGTTTATAATTCAAATACTTATGCTTGTGTTGATTTTCAATAGTTGATATGCATGTTTGTTTAGTATGTGTGACCAAAAAATAATAATAATAATAAATTGTATTTTAAGTGTAAACCATGCGCCTCATTGCAGATGAATAATGAACTTTCGGTGTATAAAATCAAAAAGCTTATCCAATTTGTTTTATCACATTCTTCGGATTGCATATTGCAAACAATCATCGACCTAACTTGAGTTGAAATAGTTTTCGAGAGAGTCATAAATCCAAGCATGTAGTCAATTATCAAGAACTCTCTAAAGGAAAAATCAAATGATGATGAAAATTAATGATATTAAATTCTTATATTTTATGTGATATATGAAGTCTCGTCACTCTCTATTCGCAACGTTACTTGCTCAAATTTTTGTTATAAGCATAATTTCCAAAATTGAAAATAAAGACTATGTCTTCACCGATGTACGCAAGTCCATATTCCAACTTTTAATGATTATTGTATGGCAGTTGGAATAATAATACAACCATTTATTGTTCATAATGTAACAAAATCAACTATTAGACGTTATTTGCTGTACCTTTAATATGCGAAAATCTTATTTCAATTGTGTGAAAATGTAATTTCACCTACAATAATTGTATGTATCGATCACAATAGATTCGTAAATGTATTCTTCACAATAAAATATTCTACACGTAAATTCATAACTTTTTTCCTACTTTTAATCACACATTTTTTAAAATTACTATTTCAAAATTAATTTTTCTCAAAAAAAAAAATCATTTTAATGGTGGTCAAACGGGGTCAAATGTTATTCTAATTATAATTGACTTAGGATCATAAACCAAATGTTTTTCCATCTTAAGATTTTTCTTATGTATATTCAACCCACAACAATGCAAAAGCTCGGCTCGACTCGGAAAAAAAAAAAAAAAAAACCATGAACCATTTTTACTTGAACCGCGCCCGAGTTTCAAGTTTCAACTTGCGAGCTAGCTCAACTCAATTTGTTGACATCCTTAAGCATTGCCGATATCTACCATCCAAACAATTGGTACATAAAACATTTTTTATCCCACTGACAATTTATTAAAAAGACAGTATTTGATAGTCCAAATTCTTTTACAATTACTTATGTTATTTTTTTTTTTTTTCAGTTTGGTAGTTTTTTCCCCGTGATTTTCAAACAAGGTTTTTAATGAGACAGGATGTGTATGAAGATTATTGTAGAAAAAATTTTATATTGAAATGACAATTGTACTCTTGCAACCCTAACTCTTATCTATAGGTATAATTTTTTTATTATTCTCTTTTCTCTTTAATTTATCACACAAATAATTGTTCAATTAAGCAATTATAGGTTTTGACAAATGCTATACTAGCAGTCTTGATCAAAAATTAAATTCATCAAGTAGGTGAAAAAAAAAAAAAAATGAACAAAGTACCAAATAAAAATAAAAATAATGCAAAATGCAACTTAACAAATTTTGTATGCACAAATGAAATGGACCTAAATTAAATCGAATAAATCACGTAAAGTGGTGAGCTTTTCCAGGTTAAACCCAGTTCCCATTTTTGCAAATTGAAAATTTCTATTAGTGGAAACGTAGCAAGAAAATTTATACTAACAAAAAAATAATAATAATAAACATCACTGTCACATACTAATATAAATAGCTGCCTTATTGCTCAGGTTCAGTAGCCTAAAACTCAAAACAAACTTATCTGGAACTGTAGAAATATATCCCTTACTGACGCATGAATGCTGTTGACCATTGATCCCCGATCTCACTTAAAATATGTTTACAGCCTATCTCATCTACATACCAAGTCGGGTTTGAAAGCTCAACTCGATCTCGTGACCGTCGTAATTTTAATAAACATAATGATTGCAAATTCCTTACACCTTGTCAATCACCCAATCAGTCAGACACACTTAGAAGAAATAACGTCAACACCGTCCAAACCCACGACTTAGCTACTATAGCTACCTATCCTGAAGCGGACTATATTTTTTTGATAAAAAGGGAATAATTACGATTTAATGAGAGTCGACCTCAGTAGCCAATCAAATAAGAGATCGGTGGCACACAAATCAAGCTCAGCATTATGAATGATCCGATTGACAAGACATAATTCCATAAGAATTAGACTTAATTCACTCTATAAAAAGAAAATGATGGTCCCCTCCAAGGGCCACAACAATAAATTTATTTATTATTATTATTTTTTTTTACCATGATTGTCCGGGGCAACTTACGCACACCTCTACTAATTCCACGAAGCACTGAAGTTTAAAGCCGAATATTCACCTCAGTAGCCCTGAGGGGACAAGGGACCACAACAATAATTATATAAAAAGGCAATTCACTCCCAAAAAAAAAAATAATAATAATAATAATACTTATAACCTCCATTATCAAGAAAAAGTGCTTGTCTTCTTAAAAGTTGGCTCAAAATCGTGATTAGCAAGTTTTGACGTCAACAAATGCATCGATGGAAATAAATGAAGCAATGTATTCAATACTACTACAAAAAAAAAAAAAAACCAATGGAATTGCTTTTGATACACTTTGATTGCAGTTTATTTGTGCAATAGGCAATCTGGTGAATTTCATATTAATAGTTGCTTCAATAGCATGCATCTAACTATTTACAGTATAAACAAGAAAATGATAGCACAACCAAGCGAAAGGTGTAGCTTTTTTTGTACAACCTAGTGTAGATTCATATCTCAATTAGAAGGTCTTAGATAGAGAGCTCTTGAGCTAATAGCCCGTCATGCGAGCCTCCCACTGGGGCCCACTATGCCAAAAGCGAGAGAAAATGAACTCTCCCTTGTGTTTCAAAAGAGTCCTTTCTTTCAAGCTTAAGAAAAAAAGGACCCTCTGTTTTCTTCATTTTCTTTTTGAGAAATAACCGAAATGAATGAATTTCTCCGAAAAAAAATTTTTAGTAATGAATACTCATATAGTCTATTTGCAAAGCTAATTGACAAGGAAGGTCCAATCATCAAATATATATCATAAAAAGCATAAGAATCAAATTTTTTAGACAGCAAAGGCAAACCTAAGTCAAGATTGTGCCCCAAGATCGTAAAAGAACTGGATGGCTCAGGCTAAATTAGACACATAATTTCAGGGACACAGGCACATCAATTCCTCTCTCTTCATAAAAACTAGTAATTGAAAAGAGTAACCATCAAAAAATTATATGGGAACAGACAACTAATGGCAATACAAACGAAAATAATCAAAGCATATCTGTGAATACATATTATAGACAACAAGTATACGGAAATTTTTGCTCAAAGTCTTGCAAGAATTACCTAAGAACATTCATGATCCAACCCTTGAGCGAAGCTCATCTTAGAATGAGTTCATTTCCAGACAATAAGTCCTTCTTTTCATCAACATCCTTGCTGCGGTCCCGAATGGCTCCTCGAGTTTTGAGGCAACCCAATTTCCTTCTGAACCGATCACCTCCTTTGGCTGTTCACTGGGCCTGACTGCAACCAGAGTTGCCCCTTTCAAGACCATTCCATTGGGTAATTCCAAAAGAGAGGCGTACCACAGCTGCATTTTGAGAGATGGAACCAAAGTCCTATTAGAAGCGGAGGCTAATAAAGGCTTCACCCTCAGCTCCTCCAATTGGTCCTTATTCATCGACAACACCCCTTGCCCATCGGCATCAGTCAAAACCAAACTGTCCAACTTCCTGTGCTCTGCTATTATTGGCTGCAGCATGTAATGACTTGCTGAAGCAGAAATTAAGGAGCTTACTGTCCACTTCGCGTAAAACGACTCGGGTATGTTCCCATTATCGTCCTCAGCTTCATTATCATTATTAACATTGCAAGCACTCGAACACGCACTGTTTGCGGCCGTAATAACAGCAGAAGCTCTAAGAATGACACAATTATCTAGCGTGGGCCCAAACTCTGCCTTCCACTTAATCAAAACACCGTTGTCAATCCCAGGCTCCCCACCAGGTAATTCTATTCTGAGGCACCTAAAAAAAAAAACCAATGGAATTGCTTTTGATACACTTTGATTGCAGTTTATTTGTGCAATAGGCAATCTGGTGAATTTCATATTTATAGTTGCTTCAATAGCATGCATCTAACTATTTACAGTATAAACAAGAAAATGATAGCACAACCAAGCGAAAGGTGTAGCTTTTTTTGTACAACCTAGTGTAGATTCATATCTCAATTAGAAGGTCTTAGATAGAGAGCTCTTGAGCTAATAGCCCGTCATGCGAGCCTCCCACTGGGGCCCACTATGCCAAAGGCGAGAGAAAATGAACTCTTCCTTGTGTTTCAAAAGAGTTTCAAAAGAATCCTTTCTTTCAAGCTTAAGAAAAAAAGGACCCTCTGTTTTCTTCATTTTCTTTTTGAGAAAATAACCGAAATGAATGAATTTCTCCGAAACAAAATTTTTAGTAATGAATACTCATATAGTCTATTTGCAAAGCTAATTGACAAGGAAGGTCCAATCATCAAATATATATCATAAAAAGCATAAGAATCAAATTTTTTAGACAGCAAAGGCAAACCTAAGTCAAGATTGTGCCCCAAGATCGTAAAAGAACTGGATGGCTCAGGCTAAATTAGACACATAATTTCAGGGACACAGGCACATCAATTCCTCTCTCTTCATAAAAACTAGTAATTGAAAAGAGTAACCATCAAAAAATTATATGGGAACAGACAACTAATGGCAATACAAACGAAAATAATCAAAGCATATCTGTGAATACATATTATAGACAACAAGTATACGGAAATTTTTGCTCAAAGTCTTGCAAGAATTACCTAAGAACATTCATGATCCAACCCTTGAGAACACTACTTCTCCAATTGTGTTAAAGCAAACTATTCATGTGAACACTAGTGATAGAAATCCTCCCAGGTTTGCAAATCGAATCAAAAAATGTTTTTATTCCTCTGATTTTCCATCCAATTCGCGTTGCGAAGAGAAAATAGAAGGTGAACGGGCAACAAAGGACTAATAGAATGAGTTCATTTCCAGACAATAAGTCCTTCTTTTCATCAACATCCTTGCTGCGGTCCCGAATGGCTCCTCGAGTTTTGAGGCAACCCAATTTCCTTCTGAACCGATCACCTCCTTTGGCTGTTCACTGGGCCTGACTGCAACCAGAGTTGCCCCTTTCAAGACCATTCCATTGGGTAATTCCAAAAGAGAGGCGTACCACAGCTGCATTTTGAGAGATGGAACCAAAGTCCTATTAGAAGCGGAGGCTAATAAAGGCTTCACCCTCAGCTCCTCCAATTGGTCCTTATTCATCGACAACACCCCTTGCCCATCGGCATCAGTCAAAACCAAACTGTCCAACTTCCTGTGCTCTGCTATTATTGGCTGCAGCATGTAATGACTTGCTGAAGCAGAAATTAAGGAGCTTACTGTCCACTTCGCGTAAAACGACTCGGGTATGTTCCCATTATCATCCTCAGCTTCATTATCATTATTAACATTGCAAGCACTCGAACACGCACTGTTTGCGGCCGTAATAACAGCAGAAGCTCTAAGAATGACACAATTATCTAGCGTGGACCCAAACTCTGCCTTCCACTTAATCAAAACACCGTTGTCAATCCCAGGCTCCCCACCAGGTAATTCTATTCTGAGGCACCTGATTTCCTTAAAAAATTTCAGGACTTGAGTAGGGGAATGGTGGCTCAGCACGCTATTCTGATCAAAACCAAGGTCCAAACCTCCAGCATCGGATGAACGTGGACGGGACCTGCCTGAAGCGGGGGCGGCAGAGGAAGAAGAACAATCATCGGAATTTACGCAATCAACGCGAACGACGACGCTGTCGACCAAGGGAACAAGGGAGTGGAAGCGCCTAGAAACGACGCAGCATCGACCCAACGCCTTGACATCACCAATACTGTTGAAGATCAAGAGAAGAAGAGAATCAGGCAGCCTATCAAAGTGATCGATCTCTTCTAGGTTATTCTTTTTGCTCAGATCTGACATTGTAGAACCCATCTTTACAAACGACTATAATGTATGAATCTCTGTATCTTGATACTTATATAGGTGGATAATCATCAACGGGTTTTGTGGATGAAGAAGATGACGAGGAAAATGGTGGAGATTCGGACACTGAGAGAGGACGCGTTGCAGGGGCGGCTGAGCTGAGATATGTGGAGTTTGGTACTTTCGTATAGTTGATTATTTTCAAGTACACCGAGGGTATATTACAAAATTCTTCCCATTGTTTACCCAAAGTAGAAATTCTGTCCCCAATCAACTTTTCCTCAAGTTTGTGTCCCAACCTTTGAGAAATTAGCAAAGCCCGTCCATCTTCCCACTTTCTATCAACTTTTACATGCATATTGTTCAACCACTAGATCCTCATATTTTATAAACATATATTGAAAATGTATAACTAAATACATAAAATTAAGTAGAAAATGTTTTTTCTTGTCAATCAAAACCTAGCCATCATTGTTGTCATCATCGGCGATGGTGGCATTGTCGTCGTTGTCGTCACCATTGAGATATCAAACCATAGCTTGCAACCACATTTTTCAACTAGATAGACACCTACGTGGATCGCTTCGACTCAATAATCCAATTATATATGATCAAATTTTCCTTCAGAGCACACCATCACCTTGCCACAACCACTATCAACTCATCATTGCAAGTTCTCTACCACCACCTATCAGCATCCAATGACACTGTGACGAAAGATTCGAACACTACTTCTCCAATTGTGTTAAAGCAAACTATTCATGTGAACACTAGTGATAGAAATCCTCCCAGGTTTGCAAATCGAATCGAAAAATGTTTTTATTCCTCTGATTTTCCATCCAATTCGCGTTGCGAAGAGAAAATAGAAGGTGAACGGGCAACAAAGGACTAGCTTTGCTAATTTCTCAAATGGTTGGAGAAAGACTTGCCGAAAAATTGTTGGTGACAGGATTGCTACTTTGGCTAAAGGTTAGGGACTAAATTGCAATGTACTCTTAGGGTTTGGGGAATTGGGTCAAATTGATTCCAGTCTAACTCAAGATAAGAATGAGTAGTGTATTTCTTGAGGTTGTAGCAAGTTCATGGGAAAGGACATTTTGTCTATTTTCATTTTCTAATGTAAACTAGCTATAGAGGGGGTAAAATTTTGCAGGAGAAGTAGAGGAAATAGAGGGTGAAAGATAAAGATAAAGTAAGAAAAAGTTCCAAACGGAAACCAAAGAAAAAGTGAGAAATCACAAGAACCCGATGGAGGAAACTAGGGAATCGATAAAATAAACCACAACAAAGTTCGCCATGGTCCCAAAAACTCGGGTTTTACCAAGTTTCCATGTAGCAGTTTCTGCTGCTCTTAGAAGTGTTCTTCAAACACAAATGACACGAACATTTCTACAAGAGGGACAAAAATAACAGCTTAGTAGGGACGGAGCAACATGGGATCATGTGGGGTCAAATGACCCCACAAATTTATGGATTTTTTTCCTAAGAACCTAACAACTACCCACTCCAACTGCAAATTGCCAAACCCAATTAATTTCCCAATAGTAGCCCATTCCCCACACTTGTGAAAAGTCCAAATCCAATCACCTATATCCATAAGGACCATATCCATAAATATAATCCCATTCCCATTATCCATTTACTAATTTGCCCAAATCCAATTATCCAATCCAACTTAAATAATCAGTTTCAATATTCCCAAATCAAATCCCATTTTTCCCAAAGCACAAACTAGACGCGAGTTTTCTCCCACTTTCTAACTTTCCAATTTTCTCTTCGTGACTTCGCCATTGGCCCTCCACCGTCGGTCTTCCCTCAGCGGCTCAGCCCTTGGCCCTTGCTATATAGGTTCAACTCTAGTGCTACTCAACTACAGATTACTGTGAAAATTTGAAAAAGGTATGTTAATGTAGGGGTTGGGTTTGTATGTTTAAAATTGATGAATTGAAATTGGATGAAAATGTTAAATATTAATTATTCACTGATTTGGTATGATATAATGGAAGTATGAATTTTTTTTATTTTATTTATGTTATTTATTTATTTATTTTTTTTTTACAATTTGGGAAAAATCATTTAAATTACAATTTCAAATTTTCAATGTAGTAGAGCCGCCGAGCTACTGGAAAAGTGGAAATATTACTATATTAGAATCCATTCTCAAAACTCAAAAATAAAATATCAATTCCAATTCCAAGTAATGGCTTTCTGTAACTTGGTGATTTAGAATTGTTTATAGAATTCGACTAACTTTTTTTATTATGAATTTAATGTTATATTTTGATGAAAAATGAAATATGGTATTTATTTATTTATCTATGTGTTTAATTTATTTTTTTAACAATCATAGAGAAATATTTTAAACGAAAATCCGTATGCTCGAGTAGAGAGTAAATTATTCTTGAAATGAGTGCTAAAAAACAAGATGGCTAGGAAGAATTAGATACTGGGAGTTAAAGAGATGTTCGGTATAGAATTGATTTAGCATAACTGCCTTTGGATCCTAGATTAAGAATTCCAATTGGGAATTATAATGTTAATATTCAGGATAAAATCCAAAGAGCATACGTACAAATGGATCCATGTCAGCCAGGAAATCACTTGTGTCCATAGAAAGAACTTGGAGATTCGTCGTTAAGACGATTTAAAACTTCTTGATTTAATGATTTTTCTGATTGGTTGGGATGCAGTATAGCAAAAGATGCCCTATTTTTCTTTTGTTGTTTTCTTTTCAAACCAAATAGTGAAGAACATGGTGGTGGTGATTCTTTTGTTGATGAAGGGTTCTCAAATTGGAAAAATAAATGAAGGTTTCAAACTAATGTTGAGAAAACTAGTAGTGCACACAACTGAACGTGGATTAAATATGATGCTTTTGTGAATCAGAAACAAAATATTGAGTGTGTTCTCTTTAAGAAGTCAAAAAGAACAAAAGATGAGTATCGAATTCGTTTGAATGCGTCAATTGATTGTGTTCAATTGCTTCTACAATAAGGGCTTTCATTTCGTGGACATGATGAATCTCAGATTCAAGAAATCAAAAAAAAATTCTTGAAATTTTGCAGTGATTATGTGATTATAATAAAGAGATTAAGGATATTTGTTTAAGTAATGCTCCTGAAAACCTTGAATTAACATTACCTAAAATTCAAAAGAATATTGTGAGTGTTATTGCATTTGAAACACTGGATGTTATTGTGAAGGATATTGGTGATGGGTTATTTTTCATTCTTGATGATGAATCTCATGATGTATCAGCGAATGAGCAAATGTTAATTGTTCTACGTTATATGAATCAGAAAGGAAAAGTAACGAAATGTTTTATCGAAGTTGAACATGTCTCTAGTACCACAGCTCTCTCAGATAAGGATTCTATTGATCACTTATTCTCTAGATTGAACTTAAGTATATATAGTTTAAGATATCAAGGTTATGATGGGGCAAGCAATATGCGAAGTGAGTACAATGGTCTTGGCACTTGAAGAGCAACATATATTGTTGATATGTGCACTCATGTAGATTTTGATGGGTTACGAGGTCTTAATGATCTTACAAAAAAGTTGGTTGCGATGAAAAACATGAGGTGTATCCATAGTTTACAGACTTGTAACATTGGCGTTAATTCTTCCAGGTGCTACTGCTACAGTAGAAAGAGTATTTTTTGCAATGAAAATTGTCAATAATCGACTGCGTAATCGGATGGGAGAACAATAGCTAAGTGATAGTTTGGTTGCATCTAGTGAGAGTGATGTACTTGACAATATTGATAACGATGTAATTATACGATATTTTCAGAGTATGAAAATGTGTAGGCTACAATTGTAGTAGCATATGGTTTTATTTTCGTTAATAATATGTTGTTCGAAAAATTTTTGAATTTTCATTTTTGACCTTACAGTTCGAAATGTCTGGGTCCTTGAAGCTTAGGATATACAAAAATTAGTGATAGGCTGCAATATCAAGCTACAAATACCTGAAAAAGATATCCACAATTGCTTAACAAATAGTATCTTAGTATAGTGTGGAGTTAAAAAAAGTTATCAGCATCTTAGGGATAATAATTATATTGCTATTATCAATTTATGACACTGCTGGACCTGAAGAAAATGAGGATATGACATTGAGGTTACCCTCTGTTCCAAATCATATAACTATTACTTATCAAATCCTAAGGATTACAATTTAGGTGTATTCATTGTAGAGTACATCGATAAGCATACATTTAAATTACATTCTCGATAAGTTGTTTAAGGAATAATACAAGGATATATAGTGAAATACCTAGGACTCCAGAGGCGCATGAGATTAAAAACTTGTTTGTTCTAGGAAGTCATAAGAGATCAAAAAATCAGTATTAATGCCCGAATAAATTGGCGTTGGCATAAATTTCAGGTTCAAGTCAAAGCTAATGATGTATACTTATCAAGCAAGAATATTCAAATCTTTGGGAGATAATTCTCAGAGCATTGCAGCTCATTAGATGGTACACCCAAGGAAGAGATCTTGGCCAAGTACTAATGCATCAATACGATAGAAGCAGATGAAAAGGCAAGAGGGAGGAATGCGAATACTAAAGATTATTGATCTACGAGTTTGAAAATAAATTCAACATCAAATTCATTAAGATAGCATTGTTGGAATTAGATGAGAAAAGGTTATAATGAAATAAAACACTGTAAAAGCAAATAAATTATCTCATTAACTTGAAGCCACAGAAAATGAACAGATCCTATCACGCAACACAGATGGAACCTATACTGTTGGAAAGAGAACACTCTATTCAACCTCCAGAAGCATCTTCATTGAGTTTTCTAAAGAAGAAACTAGAGTTCAATAGAAGCCCATAAAATAATTACTCTGACTTCGTTGTGGAAACCTAAAGGAGCTAGAGAAGAGAAATGGTTGAAGAATGATCTGATACTCAATAGGTGGGAAGTATCAGCGTGATTTCAACTGCAGGCTGCTGATATTAGAGCCACAAGATTGTCTCAGGAGGATTTGGAGTCTAAAAACTCTATCGCTGCTCTAGATATCTGGAAGACCATATGTTCGTGTAAGAATGCAAATTCCTATCTCTACAAAGCATGGAATTTCCATTCATGAAGCCACAAAATTTGTCAAAACGTACTAAAGCTTTAATAGATTAAGTTATTACAATGAAGTTTCAATGTTAATACACCATGTTTTAC